AACTTTTTCAACAACACGGATTCGATTTCATTGTCCTCTAAATCGTTGCCTTTGATAGCATATGTGTAGGAGGTGACATGTTCGTTAGGATCGGTCGTACCGTTATATTTGGGAATTTCGGGCATACGAAATATTTTGGGGATTGGTTTTGGGGCCGCGCTCGAGGGAAAAAGCTTTTGTATGAATTTTTTCGAATCCAGCCCTTTTATCATTGGCGGAGCCCCGGGGATTTGATCGACCCTGGAATTATATGTTTCTACTTTCTTGTCGTTGGCTTCTACTCGTTTTGTAAGTTCCTCGAGCAATTTAGCAATTTCAGGAGTGGTCCCCGATTCTTGCTCATTTGATTTTACTATGGCGGGCTCCGTTATGGGGGTGACTTCTCGAAGAAGTGGATTGGAGTCCGGCCTGCTTTGCATATGAGTTTGGCTCTACAACTGAGCTATCGCTACTTGTTGGGCTTGTAGCATTTCGAAGATTATACGCAAGTTGATCCCGATTTTCTCCGTGTTGTGGGTGTCTCGGGCTATGGGTCGAGCACCGCCCTGAATGCTTCTTTCCGGTTCGGAACGCTGATTCGCCTCCAGAGCTATTTGTGAATTGATATCTAATGGTACTTCAGCTCGAATTTCGGGTTCTTCGACTCGAGCCTCGTTGCCATCGTCAGGTAGCCTTCCGACCCTGGGTGCCAAGTTGTTGGTTTCATCTTGAAGGTCGGCTTCGAGGTCGATAGGTAAAGCCATTGCTGACTTGAAGTTGTAAGCTGGAGTGTACTGTAGATTTATATCAAACAATCACTGTTACCCTTAGCCCCACGGTGGGCGCCAAACTGTTTACCCGAAAAATTAGATAACGTTAAATTTATATATGGTTCTAAGGATACGTAATATCCTTTGATACAAAAATAACAATACAACTATTTTGACTGTGAGGATAGAAAATGATGAACAGAGAAATTGAATAAGATCAAATAAAACAAGCACAAAGAGATGTCTTTTTTGTATGAGAGAAGATCTGTCTATTGCAATCTTATTTTTCCCATAGCTTACAAGGACCCTCCCTTTTATAATAGAGGGTCATTGCTTTATCTATAACAAAATAATAAAATAATGCATGTAGTGGAGGACCCATGATGATTTGTCTCTTCCTTGATTTCTGCCAAGATTCTCCCCCATAGTGTGGTTGCAATGACTCTTGTCCGCGAGCTCGATTCTGGCTCGAGCTCGGTATTGGATTGAGCCCCCGGTCTTGGTTCGAGCTCGATTCTGCCTTGGAGGATCGATATTCGGGGTGAGCGTTGGTCGGTCTAGGCATCTTCGATAATCTGCGCCTTGCCTCGTAGTTCAATTTGGATACGAGTTCGATAATGATACCGGGCTTGTCATTGGTCGGTCTTATAGCTCGAAACTCGATGCCCTTACTTCGGACCTCGACCGAGCTTGTCATGCAGATATCCTTTGAATAGTCATGTAGATATTAACAGTAACCAATCAATTTGTGTAGTCAACCCAATGTTCTGCTTTCTTGAAATGCCATAATTAAAAACGTACACCGCAACTTCTTGGGTAATAACTTCTAAATATAACGTGATTGGTGGAATAAATATTCATTTTCTCAAGCCTGTATCATACAATATTCTTTTATTTTTCTATTCAGAGATTTTTCTTTCCTTCCTACTTCTCGGCAACAATTCTACAGTTTGTCACTCAAAATTATGAGAACATCATTATAGAAAGGAAAAGAAAAGAAATAGAAATAGCAATGCATTAAAATTACTACCTCTATTTCTTTTTTTAAATTGAGTGATATTGTTCATTGTTCATTATACATGAAATATTCAGACGCTGCACTGTTAGAAATCTTTCCTTGTCAACATGGAAGTTTCATGTTCATCAGTATGGGAATTAACATTGTGATAACTTAGAATAATAAAATTAAAAATCACCAATTATCTAAGCTAATTAAAGGAAAGAATAGATCAGAAGCTTACTTGTAGTTGAAAAAGTATCGTTTCTGCTCTAAAGCATGAACCACAGATGTTTCATATGTGCAGAAGTTTACCACCATAGACACTTTATTGTGAATCTTTATAGAATGTAATGAAGAATGTCAAAAGGCTGCAATGCAAAAATATTATAAGCATTAAAGATGAAAGAAATTGAAGAAACAATCAAAGCTGAATAATTAAGAAAATTAAACTTAAAAAACTGACAAGCTATAATAATTACGGGTGAAAACCTAACATTCAAAACCTCTATGGTTAAGTCTCTTAAAAATTCAAGAAAAAAAAATAAAAGAGGAGAAACGTTTTCCATGATAATCATAGGAAACGTTTATGGAAAGTAAATGAAAGAGACATAGAATACCCTCAACTCTCATTGGATTCATTGAATTGAGTGTGTTAAGTAGTAAATTACCATTCCTTCCCTTCTAATTCACCCGCTTCACTTTTAATGTAATAAATAAAAATTATTTAATGGAAATGCTTTTTTCTTGGGGACAAAATGGTCCCTTAGATTTAAAAGGATAGTATTGCAAATCAATTTTGAAGGTATGATCATCCTATATATATATATAGAGAGAGTTATATATATATATAGTTATATACTAGTTTCTGGATACGCGCGTTATGCGTGTATCCAATACAAGTGAGTACAAACTTTTTAAAATTACAAATATTATTAAAAGATATACTTTAATTTAAAAAAATTAAACAAGGTATTTCAAGTCTTAAAAAATAATTATTAATATTATTTAGCTAACCCAGTAAACATAAAACTGTACTCCAAAAAAAATTCTTAGATGCCTTAATGAGTTAACCACATGCTACCTTATAAATTTCAGTTTAAAAAAAAGGCGCGAATACCACCTTCTTAATTAGTTGACTTGCAATTTTCTAGCCAAATGAAATATCACGAAAATACGTGAATATTAACGCTAGCCTACTAAGAAATCATCTCCTTACTAAGATAATAATAAAAGGCAAAAAATAAAAATAGGTTCAAATATCATAGTAAGAGTTTACCATTTGGATCTTTTGCTGGAAATATCTATACTATTGATGAGTTAAAAATAAAGTAAAAGCAAACAATTAAATATAGTTCTCCTAAAGAAGATTAAAAATTTTAATTAATCTACAAAATATATCTAAGAAAATAAAGAGTTGGACGTACTTCCAGTTCCATTACCATGCAAAAGACCTTATTAGAACTTCAGGAAAATTGAAGTACCACATAGATACAAAAATGAAACATACCACATAAAAATTTCAAGGTAAAACGTGCTAAAGAACATAAAATTTAACAACAAAATTAAAACTTGGAGAAACATGCATCAAGAGCATAAAGTACCAAATAACCTCACAAAATTTAAGAAAATCTAAAAAAATCTAGTCAAATTAATAGCATATTTCAAGGCTAAACAAATAAATAACATAAAATTTAACCAAAATTTGGAAGAAAACAAATCAACACAAAGGGGCATGACTTAACTTTGGTCCACAGAGCTCGCCAAATTTTTGTTGTGTTTTCCCATGTAATTCAGTTTTGAAAATTAATAGAAACAACCTCATTTATACTTGAAAACTTCTAAAAGACAATTAAAAAACACTTAGAATTCGTTAGATAATTTATTTTGTCTTATTTTTCTTGATCTTTAATAAAATGCAAGCTATATATGCATAAACATGTGTAAACTTTCTTTGAGAAAGGAGAAAGGAACAAATCAAAGATGATTGAAATCTAAGGTATAGATAAGTGATCTTTAATTTCTAAAACTAATATCTGAAATGATGGAAATAAAAATTGTAAAATATTTTTGTCCCTTGGTAGCTATTTTTAAACAAAAAGAAAGATTAGAAGAATGGTAGAGATGTCCAGTGGCACAACCCACAACCAAAAAAGCAAAATCGTACAATCGGAGACATATACAAATCCAGCTGCAGTGTACGTACCTCAATCCACCATCTTAGTCCTTCGTCAGTCTCTTCATTTGCTCACAACTCAAATTGCTTGAGCATTCCCAAAGATTATATTGATTTGAAGAGCATAAACCCATAATAATTGTAGGGAATTGAAGAGACCATGCATCATTATCCAATAAATATTATTTATTATATTGAATTATTCATTTTCTTGATTGCTAGCTTAACGTTATGAGAGAAAAGAAGAAATTTGTTGTTAGTGCACTGGATTTTGACGGAATAATGGAGTAGAAATTAACTTTGTATAAACTCAATATCTTAGATATATGTATCTACAAAAGTTTAATAATTCCATGACTAACCTTGTAACTTACGTATGTTGTGTACTAAATTGAAGGGACTATTTAGTTTAATAAGGATATAAACGTCTATTAGTTTTTAATAGGTAATTCAAGTTTTTACTTTGGATCTTCCCACTTTTAGTATAAATGATTTTAGTATAATATGATGTATATATCTTTTGCTTAGTTGATTGTTATTTATTTTCTTTCAATCTATTACTAGAGTCCATTACTCAAATACTCATTCAATTATTTAAAATTAACTAAGAAAAATTATATTTTCTTTGTTTATAATAGAAATATCACTTGATTATGCTAAAAAAGTCACGCAACCAGATTTTAGATTTATCAAAATTCCGATGGTCAAATAACTATATTACATTTTAAATTATCAACTTTTATCTTTTCTACTACACAGATTGAGTTCCGGTGGGCGGTAACCAACAAATACCTATTAGGTTTTACCCGATGTACAATACGTTTATTCCCTCTAGATTGAGTTATCTTATCGGGTAATCAAATCGATAAAAATTAATAACCAACTAATCCATACCCGATAATAGATATTTTACCGATTTAATGTTATTGATTTAACATATTTATAAACCTATAATGGATACTTGGAACGGATAAAACCAACTATACACACGCCTAATATGGACGAATTCCATCGCATTCTAAACATGATTTTGACCAATAGGCAGCCCTTATAAAATTTGATTTATACATTTTTAAATGAAAATAGCCTGCCAATGCTAACTGTTAATCTTGTTTATGATAATGTCGGACTCTAATAAGCAGCTTAACAATTTGCTTATCAAAGTCAAAGCTAACGCCAAATTACAATCGTTTCTCCCTCCCCTTTCCTCTCCTTCTTCAATTGCAGAGTACACAAAAAACCCAAATCGCCATGGGAGATCCTCGACAGTCTTTCGTCAATCATGCTCTCGGTGGTGGCACAGGTTTTTTTCCCTATCTAATACTAAATGATTACTATATTTTATTCACAATTTGCCTCTCCATCAATTCGGATTTGACATTAATCCTCCATTTTTTCTCGAATTTCTTCATGCTAGCATGTTAGCATCGATTAGAATGCACTTAATTCCCAACTAAGTGGTATTAATCACAAGGAAATGAAAGAATCATAGAAATGAAGAAAATAGGGATACTATTTTGATAGGGAGAATATTATTCATGAGGTTAATAATTGTTATTGCAGTTGCTGACGTGTTGTTGTGGAGGAGACAATGCGCTAGTGTTACTCTGCTTGTTAGTTCTACTGTCCTTTGGTTTCTATTTGAGCGAGCTGGCTACAATCTCTTATCCTTTATTGCCAATGTGATGTTGCTTTTAGTTGTGATTCTCTTCTTTTGGGGTAAATCTGCTTCACTTCTCAACAGGTATTGATTGATGCATTTATTTTTCACATTTTCTTCCTCTGTCAAAACTCACAAGTTATACATTTAATGTAGGTTAATATTTATTGTAAGACTTAGTTGTGTGGTGCTTTGTGAACTGTCTCATCTAAGAACTTAAGTTGTTAGAGAGTAGATATAGTTATGTATTTTACTTTTGCAACACACCCTTTGCATATAACTTGATTCTTTTTCATAGTCAAGCATGTGAAAATGTGAAAATATTGTTATGTGAATTGCCTCATCTACAAGTTTAAACCAAAAAGACACATCTGAATTATTTATTTTACGTCTGCAACAAACTGAACGAATTGTTGTATCTATAATTCCAGATCTTTACCTCCAATTCCCGATATGGAAGTTCCCGAGGAATTTGTCGTGAAGGCTGCTGATATGATGCGTGTTTGGGTAAACCATATACTGCTGACTGCACATGATATTGCTATTAGTGGGAATTTGAAACTTTTTGGTTGGGTCTGTTCTCATGTTATCCTTCTTTTTTCGTTAGTCCAATCATTTTCGTATTTGTTTCTACTTAATGTGGATTTTGTTCATCAGGTTGCTCTTGGCTTGTGGTTGATATCTTATGTTGGTAGCTTTTTCACTCTCCTTACTTTGCTCTATATAGGTGAGTAGGCTTTTCTGTTGTGTTATTGATGTTTTTATGCGCATTTAATCATTGATCTAGTCCCTTCTTTTTGGCTTCAGGGACCCTTTTTAGCTTGTCTGTGCCTCTGCTATACGAGAAGTACCAAAATCAAATAGATGACAAGCTTATTACAGCACAGAAAGTCATTCAGAAACAGTACAGAAAAATTGACGAGAATGTATTGAGAAAGATTTTGAAGTCCTCGAACAAGGAAAAGAAGACTCAGTAAACTGTAATCTCTCTGTGTGTGTGTGTGTGTGTGAGAGAGAGAGAGAGAGAGAGAGAGAGAGAGAGAGAGAGAGAGATGCAGATACATGCGATCATCCATTCCTATGTGTGGTATGCATAACTTCCGGAATGTCTAAATTTTGTTATCTCGAAGAATCTCAAAGTACTACCCTCAAAACCAAAGTACTCTCTGCTGCCATATGCTTCTGAACATGCTAATAATGAGAGGATGCTAATGGAGGCTCATTCGATGTTTCCTTGATTTCTCTCAACTCTGTACAATATCAACATGTTGAGTACCTTATATAGATTATTAGGTGGTATAACCAATTAAAAAAACATTATTAGGTGGTATTATCTATTGGTCTTAGAAGCCCGTTTGTTCCAACTCGTATTCAGCCGTAGAATGCATCTGCTCTTATATATTCACAAATATATCTCTTTGACAATCTTATCTTAGAAGTAGTGTCTACTTGACATTGTCTGCTAGTTTGGATTTGAAGACTTACACTCGAGTGAAAGTAATCTAGTGGGCTAACTTAAATGCTTGATAATAGTATCTTAGGACACAAGTCTGAAGATATTTTATAGGAACTGTAGCTTCACAGAAGTAGTCTTGATTACAACAACAACAAACTCAGTGTAATCCCATAAGTGGGGTCTGGGGAGGGTAGTGTGTACGCAAACCTTACCCTAGAGAGGCTGTTTCCAATCTCGACACAGAAGTAGTCTTGATTCAGGAAAGAAAATCCACAGTCAGTAGCTGATACAAAATTGAATTGTCATGACAGCTTGAATGAGCTGACTGCTGAGAATCTTTTCTTTAGAAGATTCTGGAGGAATAAGTCTGTTGCTTCTATGGGCTTATATAAACAATGGAAAGTTGATTCATCATCATATTCTTGCAGGAATAAATCGAATTCAAATGCCTTCATAACCGGCTGTTTCATTTTTCTGTTTCCTTTTAACCTCTTTTGATTCAACAGTTTAAATATATTTTGTTAGTAGCATATCAAGTCTTTTATAGTATATTTTAGCTTTGTTGCAGCTTTACATATGTTTATTTCACCTTCTGTTGAATGTTATCAAGTGATGCATGCCAACTAGCTGCTAATTGTTTACTCTTTCTAACCGTCAATGTCTTCTTTTAACAGGACGGATTTTGCCTTCACGAGCAATCCAGACATAAATCAGGAAATTGTAGAGGTATGGTTTTGGCCCTAATTAGATTGTTCTATGAAGTCCATACTGAAATTCAAAATATTGTTTTTCCTTTCTTTCTTTTATCATTTTCCATTATCTTTGATACTGATTACAGAATAAAATGTTAGTCTTGCTACTCTTCTCTGTAGTTGAGATTACTGCAATTGGAACGACGTTCTAATAGAAAGGGTTGTGCAATAACTTTGACAAGCTACCCCGTGATTTTCTTTGACATGACACCTACAACTTTCAGGGATGGTTTAAATCTTCTAGTGCCTATAGTTAAATTTCGTTCTTATTGAGATCTGACATTCAATGTATAAACAGTGGCGGAGCCACTCATTGGCAAGGGGAGTCAACTGACAACCCTTCATCGAAAAATTAGATTGTGTAAATACGTTAAATTTTTAATTTTATGTGTATATACTATACGTTGATTCCCCTTGATTTCTTTGTGTGCTTACTTATTTATATTTTGACTACCCTTAATTAAAATATGGCTCTGCCACTGTGTATAAAGCGTTTTTACATAGTGTTTGCTGATGCTTGTAAAAGAGAACAAACGAATGAGCAGGAAGTCTGCTGGCATAGTGTTTACGAATATTGCTCTCTTCACCGCATACTCTATAACTGCATTGGAGATGCGATAAACTCACACATGCAATCAAGCCTATCCATGCAGGAATACCAAAGAGTTGGAGTGGGCCGGGGCGAACATGGTTCTACCTCTCTACGACCCATTCCCCTCTCAATTTGACACTGAAATTTATTTACATACTTTGTTTTGCTTACACAAATTGCACTGTGTATTGAGGAGTCTTTTCCTGGAAAGGAGAATATACTTGTATTGAGAACTTTATTATTCTTTTTGGGAAGGAGATACTAGATTGTAATATAGTTATGTACAATATCGGCATATTATGTTCCCCAAGATTGAGAAAGAGATGTAATCCACTTGCATCTGCTGCTGCAAGACAGGAAGAGGCCACCAAAACCTTCAGTTCTTACACCAACTAGATTTGCTAACTTAATCGACTGATGTATGATGTTAAGTGAAACATCAGAGAGATGCTCTCAGATTCAATTCAAACTTAGGGTACAAGTTAAAGATTGAGAAAGTGACATAATTTTTCTTGAAAGCTTTTCCTTTCATAAGCTCTGGATTCTGTAGAAGTCCAAAAAGATAAAAACAAAAGTAAATAAATAGTATTCCATCCATTTCAATTTATGTGAACATGTTTGACTGTGCACGGAGTTTAAGAAAAAGTAAAGACTTTTGGAATTTGTGGTCCTAAACAATTCAAAAAGGGCCCCAGAGTATTTGTGTGGTTATAAAAGCTTCTCATTAAGGGTAGAATTGTAAGTTTAAGTAAAATTATTTTCAAATTTAGAAATGGGTCATTCTTTTTGGAACGGATCAAAAGAAAATAAGTTCAAATAAATTGAAAGTATTTAACTTTTTCCTAATACTACCAAATCCCAAGAGGAAATGTTTTTAACTTTATACTGTACTACAAAATCCCAAAATGCAAATGTCTTTAACTTTGTACTTAAAATGTTGGAGTTATTTAAGCAGAGAAACAAGAGAAATAACAAAACTATGCTTTCCCCAGCGAACTGCAAGCGCGGGTACATCCAACTTTTGCCACACCATGGCAAAAGAACTTATTTGTACTTTATCCAACACCTACCTAATAGCCCGATTAGCCAAGCTAGAAAAATCAGCTTATTTTGAAATTGTTTTTTTTCAAAAGTTTGTTTCTTAAAAGTATTTTTGGTTAGAAACAGTTTCTGTTTGATTAAAAAGTATTTCTAAGTGTATTTTTCTCAAAAGTGCTTCTCAAAATAGTGCTTCTGGGAAAATTACTTTTTTCTGCTTCTCCAAAACTGTTTCTGCTTCTCCTCAAAAGCACTTTTTTTCCTTCTAAAACCTCGGTCAAAAACAAAAGTGCTTTTGAACTAGGGAAAGCTTGGCCAAACAGGCTATAAAATACTTTAGGCAGCTTTATTTTTCTACGAATTAATATTTTTTAAATTTTCAAAATATTAAACTATTTGCAGTTCAATTTTTTTTTGAGATATTTTCTGAATCAAAGTAACTTTTTATTGCTTTAAATAATTCATTTGCTTTCATTAATATCATATTAATTCAAATAATTAATTTAAACTTTTACATATTCAAACACGAATAATACGGACCAAATGGGGAGAGAAAAGGCCCAAAATAGTCCAGTATCTTTGGACTTTAACTCAAACTAGTCCTATTTCTTTCACATGGATCACTAATAATCTACATTCTTTAATAAAGTGGTACACTTTTAGTCTTCATGTTTGATATGAAAAAAATATTTTCCTAGAAAATGAGTGGTCATCATTTATTTTTCCTTATTTGGTTGGTGAGTGAAAAACGTTTTCCGAAAAACTTTTTCTAGTATTTGTTTAGAGAGTAAAAAAATATTTTTTAAATTTTTTTTTATGCTACTTTTCTTACCCCCTCCCCCTTCTCCCAAATCCCTAGGTTTCCCGTGCTCCCC